ATAAAATAAATCGGAAAAGTGTTAAAATTTTTATGTTTAATTTTGAATCGGGCGTTACTTTTTGGGGGTACTGTACAAAAGCATATAATTTTATTGAAAATATTTAAGTCAAATTTAAATAAATGAATTCCATCTTATAAATCACGTGATTATCCCTTCCCCTGGTTCGGCAAGTCTATGGACACATACAAATTCACGTGATATTACCGTATGAATGTGATCATGTGACATTTCACGTGTGGTAACATAGAATCGTGTTCAACAAAATTAGAAAATCGTCACGGAACAAAAATGTTGTGTTCGCATGGAAAAAACAATCATCGATTGTAAGATGATTGTTTGCACAGTGATTCATCTTGTTTGCATAGTGATTTATTATTAATCAGTAGAAAAAAATGGATTGAACGTTAAAGAGATTTTTTATTAATCAGATCGTTGATGTACAAAATCGTGATTTAAATAAAATAAAGTTCGTTTACTACAAAAATCATACCTACCTGCCCAAGCTTTCTGTTACCTGAATATTCACAGAAATTCGAACATTCTTCAGATTACGCGGTACATCACCTATAAACGATTCCAACATTCATCATAAAACATTTAATTACATATTGCTTATTGTAAAATCGCATATCGAGCTTCTCTTTATACGTGACTTACCTGTCAGTAGACAGTACATAAGACTTTATTAATCTTGATTAAAACTTATTGACTCATATAAGTGTATTCCAATACATTCAACTCATATGTGTAATCGTTGATTTATTATAACAATGATGGAACCTATCATGCCCAAAGTGAACGATAAGGTTGAATCCTTAGAATCCTTCAAAGTTACTGCTAGATCAGCGGCTAAAGCTAATGGATTCACTTTCTCAAGAAAAGATAGCAATCTTACTGGACACAAAGGCAAATCACCTTTCATTGTTTTGCAATGTACTAAGGGTGGAGGATGACGCAACAACTGGAATATAACTGAGAAAACTTGAAGAGAAAAGAAATACTAAACGTGTAAACTGTCCTGTATATCTTAGAGCTAGGTGCATAAACTCAAAAGTCATCAAACTTTTGTATTTTATAAATGTATAAACTTCTTTACTAAGAAGTAAATACAAAATTTAATCCGTAAATATGATAGAATAGGTCTTTTCTGAGCATATTCACGGATTAAATTTTGTATCTACTTCTTGATAAAGAAGTTTATACAGTTTATAAAATACAAACGTTTGATGACTTTAGATTTTATGCACCATATTGCAACAAAATAATCACTCGACTATGGATGTTCTGAATACTGAGATAATGTGAATTGTTACAAGAACATAATTTATTAGTATTTTTTTGATGAGGATAACAATCTACATGTACATAATACGAATAATAATACATGTACGTATGATCGTTATCAATTTGAATTAGGTTTAACCTTTGTAATACATGTACATGTACATGTAATTTTAATGCAATAAATTACGTATAGCTCCATATACAGTTTTTAATATTGGCTATTACATGTATTATTTATATTAATTTTATCGATTTAAATTTATGAATTTAACCGATTTTTTCGCCAAAGGTAACTTTGACTCAGTTGGATTGAACGCTGCCTATTAATGTCTTTCTGGGTATTAGTGTCACATGTTCGACTCTGAGTGCTGCCTATGTACCCTTCCAGAAATTGATGTCGCGTGTTCAAACCTGATTTTATTTTGTTCGTAATGGAGATCGATATTATTTTAAAAGATTTGTTTTTCTTCAGAATTAAATTCAAGTAATTTCATCCTATATACATGTATTTTTTTTATAGTAACCTCATTGCCTCTAATGCTAAGTAATAATAATGCAGTTTTTATCTTTGTATTTACTAAGTGTTTTTGTATTTCATCAACTTTGTGCTTTTATAAGTCAAAAACAGTAAGTAGCAAATATTTTACAAGCATGAAAACAAAGTAACCCTAATTTGTTTTGGTTGCTGTATTTAGTTTTTAAGTTCGTTTGGTCTTGCCGCTGGGATATCCGTCATCTCACAATTTAGACTATACAAAGGTGACACACAAAGACCCTGCGCTGTTGCTTTTCTTTACCAAAGCAAAATCCGTTTCCTGTGTTTACTATGTATCACCGATGATTCTGAAAACAAGTCAATTCCACAGTCACAATATCCTTTGGTTCGACAGTTAAAGGAACCATTTGATGCACCCAAGCTCTTTCTGAGAGATTATGTATCGTGAGGGATGCAATACAGATATATATCGCATATATAAAGATAGTTTCTACGTCGTCGTCTATCAAAGAACGCCAATTACATATCTCACTATGATTTTATTTCAAACTAAGAATGTCAAGAAACGAGATTTACACAAAAAAATAATTACATGTATTAATTTTCATTGTTTACTTTGTTTATTATTCTATATACATGTACATACATTATCGTTATTTATTGGAATGATCTAAATTGATAATTGATATTTATTGGTTAAAAGAAGAGCCTTTTATTATTTATACTAACGCTAATACACACAAATAAGAAAGTGAAGCACATAAGTGCTCTTTTAACATAATGATAACAATAAAACAGAAGTTCCATCACACAATCAGTACTTGACGCAGAAATCAACTTCCACGTTTATTTATTTACCCATCATTTCAAAGTTTTAAAGCGAACACTGATTTTATAAAGATGAATTCTAAAATTTTGAATACTCATCATCGTAGTAAATGTCAGCATTATAACGATAAGTACCGCAACGAGTGTTCAGTTCACAGTACTCATGATGTTACGGTTGTCGAGAACGGAATTAGTAGTAAATGTACTTGTCAAGAAATGAGTTCCTGTGTATGCAAGGTTCAAAAGGAGATAAAAATCTGAATTACCAGATACGTGTGATTAGTTATCGTTGTTTGTTAAGATACGCATGGAAACAATCAGCGTCCTATTGTGATTATTCTTTATCGTTATCGTTATTATATTTTATTGTCTGTTTAAGATACGTATGGAAACAAAAAAGTCTCTAATATTGCTTTCGGTGGTAGGTGAATTGAAGAGTAACTGTCTGCAACTAAGTTGTTCGATCATTGATATCGCTAGTTCGTCAAGAGAATGATATTTTGATGAGTGATGGAAGTATGTTCACAATTATGTGTACTGACGGTATTCGAACTCGTTTTGCCTTCAACGTCCATAACGCACCCCAACTCATCTATATAACGAAACTGAACTATTTTTTCAAGCGAACGAAGATTACCCCGTGCAAATATTATTAATCGGGCCTTCTCTATTCGAGAAATATGGGCGGTGATATATACTCTAAGAAGCATTCTGTGATTTATTATTTTATGAATATATAGCGTGTTTAAGTTTCATCCATTTTGATCGAAGATGTCGGTGTACGTCTCTCCTTATAACCGGCTCTTTCACTCCCAACCAGCGACCGAAAGCGACCCACAATCGTTTATTTAAATTATCAGTTTGGAGTTTTACTTCGTCAGCATGCTCTATAATAATTACTTCATCATCGACCAGTTTAAGAAAATTGGTGGGTATCGGATATCTCATTATTATTAACTAACCTAGCCTCTCGAATTAATGCTTCAATTAACAAATCTTTCGTTGAGATTTCTTCCCGAATTTTGATCCGACGAACAAAGAGGATTGCTCTTCCACTCTTTTCGATATAATGGATTTTATCGCATGCACATAGTCCTTGGGTTGCAAACTGAGTCCTATGTTAATGTACGGTGCACGGACAAAGTCGGATATAAAGTTCAGAATTATGTTTTATGCGAACCAAACCAATAATTTCTTTTGATCTAGTTTTTTGCGGACCGAACAAACCAGTACGGCAATTATGCGCTTTCTACAACGCAACATATGAAGTCAAAAGCCCTAGTTACAGAGCAACGATTTTTTGCGTAACCAGACTTTTACGATGAGATCCCCAAAATACCCCCAACAGCTATAATCCTGACATTCATAACTTCAACAACATAATCTTGATATTACAGAATCCTGAATGTTCAAAATCCTGATGGTCCAAGATCTCAACTCAGTTACGTAATTGCAAAATCGCAGAACTTCGAAAAAAAAACAGTTTTTTTATTATAAGAAATTATTATAAGAAATTATTATAAAACATTCTATACATATAAATGGATAATATAATAACTAGTATTTATTGTACCTTCAAAGTATATGTACTAGTAATATTATGAATATATATTTATTTAGAAGAGATAAAATTTTGAATAATAACTTCTAAATGAGATTTTGAATACTCTATATTTTACAAAATAAATTTAACAAATTCTTAAATGTTCTCTTAACATTAACAGTTTGCAATTTCTATATTAGTATTTTATAAAAATCTAACTTCAATTGGCACTCCGAGTATAATGATTTATAATATTATAATATATAAATAGTTAATATTATCTATATATTTGTATAAATTTAAATTAAATTTTGAGTATATTAGTTTTTTTATCAAATAAAAAAAGGGATACCTAGAGTAAAAAATAAATTTATCTCCTCAAAATGTTGTTGAAATGTTCTAAAAAGATATTTAGAGTTAGCCAAAAATCTATTTACAGTTCAAAAATTGAAAATCATTAAATTTTACATTTATTGACACTTTGAGTATTTCAGAAAGTTAAAAAAGTACTATTTTTATTGGTGTATATTAATATTAATTCTAATCTTTGAATTATTATATATTAACAAAAATGCTTGATCTTATTATATTAATAATAGAGAGAATTAATTATATATATATTTTTACAATTATAACAAATTAATTATATTATTATTAAAATTTTAGAAATTATATATATTTTTTATCAAATTAAAATTTTTTTATTGATTTTATAAATTTTAATTTATAAATTAATTCTTGAAATATAATTATAATTTTGTTTATTTTATTATTTAAATAATTTATTTTAATAATATTTTCTTGTAGAATTATTATTATTTGTCTTTTATATTATAAATTATTTTTACTATTAGTTAAATTTTTTTATATATAATTATTTTTATTATAATTATATTATATAAAAATTTATTATAATTATACTTTATTTAAGTATTAACTACAATAAAAATATTTTACTATAAGCATATTTATTATAAAATTTTGATATAAATATATTTTTAAAAAAGTTATTATTGAATTTAATAATATAATTATAGAAAGAGTTAATTATATTTGTTAATATTTTATTTATAATATAAGAATACTTTCTTATATGTAAAGTATTAAAATAAATATATTAATTATTGTAAATAAATTATATCAATTAAGATAGTTTTCAGTTTTAATTTTAATAAGCTTATTAAATAGTGAAAAGATTTAAAGAGCTATAATACAGAACAGAAATATTTAAATATATAATTGAGATTTAATGAATTATAAATAAATTAATAATAAAATAGAGAACAATTAGTTCTAAATTATTAATCTTAAAGATGATGCATCTTCAAGTTATATTGTACTTAATAAGATATATATAAAATATAAATAATAATAATAAAAGATAATTAACACAAATTTAAAAATAATAAAAGAAAAAGAAAAGAATGAATAAAAAGAAAAGTAATTAAAAACAAAGTGTGTCTAAATTAATAATGTGATCTATATTTTACATCTAATCTATTTAGCAAAACATTAAGAAGTATTAAATATAGATCTGTATTAATTTCTAACATGTTATGCAAAAAATAATAAATATAACACAAAAAATAATAAATATAATACAAGAAATTATAAGAGTATATGAAAATTACTGTGATTCTGAAGTATATTACTTGAAATGAAAAGGTAATAAAGATTATCTTAAATATAAAAACAAGTATTAAGAGAATAAATAGAAAAAAATTGAGAAAAAGAACAAATAATTTCTCAATTACAAAGTGAAATTAAATAA